ATGGGGGTCACTGAGGGCTCCCAGTATGTGAGAGGGGGCAGGCTGGGCTGAGGGACACTCCCCCGACACACACACCAAGTGCACGAATTTCGTGCACCAGGCCCCTAGTATAATTATAAAGCAGTAGGTCTAGCTGAAATGTCATTTATTATAGTTGTGTAACCTTGAAGAAGGCAAGTGGAGCCATAAGTTTCTTTGAAAGATTAAACTAGATATTTTTTAACTTTTTATTTTAAAGTAGTTTTGGATTTACTGAAAAGTTGCAAAAATAATATAAAGAGCTCTTGAATACCCTTTATCCAGTGTTCCCCAATGTCAGCATTTTACATTACCATAGAATAATGATCAAAGCCAGGAAATTAGTATTGATAAAATACTATTAATTAGTTCACAGACCTTATTCAACTTTGCCTTACTTTCCTCCACCGATATTAAGCTAGATGATGTTTAAGAGCTTTCTAGCTCTAAAAGTCTTTGATATGCTTGATGTATTACATTCTCTACCTTATCTTGATTATTAAAAACCAAAGATTAAATTTTCTAGTGACAGCCCACTATTTCAATATTCTGTTTAAGTATTAAACAGAAAAATGCTGAATTAAATTATTTTAAGCCCATTTCAACTTGAAAAATACCATGTAGGCTTGACTGTGACCCTTTCCTCCTATAACTCTCTTGATTAACTTCTTCCTATGAACATAATCCTCTTCCTGTGTCCAGAGCTCTGTGTTAGTAATAAGCAAATCACATTGCCCTTGGGAACCATTCAAGAGTAGAAAACATGGTGGGAACTAGAAGCCCACCCAACTTAAATCTACTTACACCATCTACCCCAGGGGTGTGAGGTGTGAAGCCTTTCCCTCTTTGCCACCCCAGCTACTATATGCTCGCTCAACACTTTAGAATGTTCTAGTTGGATTTTAGTCTTTTTGTGAAGACCTAATCATGGAACAGAACAAAATGTAAACTGCTGGTATAGTCTGTGCATAAAGGACCTACCTTTAACCCCTGGCAGACTCCTCACTGTCTTCAAGTATACATTTAGGTAAGTGGATTACTACTTGTATCTTTAGCTGCTTCACAGGTTAGAAAGTCAATTTAATGAGATGATTTTAATGAAGTATCTTCAGTATCATTTGAAGAAGAACCTGACTTAATCCAGTACACTACCAACTCTAAATTGTTTAGCATAGTGTAAGAAAACTCTACTATAAATGATCTCAATCCCAAATGAATTCATGGTGATTTCAATGAGATCATAATTCTTAATGCCTTTTAAATTTTTCCTTCAGAATTCTTGGTTAAAATATAGATGTCAGTATAAAGGAAATCTGAAGTAGAGATTATTTTCTTATTTTTTTAAACCTGCATTTTCATATATTTAAAGGGTCATCTTCTGATATTTGTCATCTATACTAATAAAAGGGTAATATGCTAATTAGACCAGATAGACCAGACGCCTTCTGGATGTCATTCTAGATGTCTTCCTGACAAAGCCAGGGCCCAGGCAAAGCCGCTTGGAGTCCCTGGTGCCTGTGGCCAGCCAGAGGAGGGAAGCCCAGGTCCCAGGTGCCAGAGGAAAGCCGATGCTGGCAGCCAGGGGAAGGAAGGCCTACTCTTGCACGAATTCTCGTGCACTGGGCCTCTAGTATTACAATAAAAGTGGGGGTGAGGTACTACACAAAAGCCCTCACCTCCCTGGGGCAAACCCTACAAAACACTGGTATTTCTTCCTGTCTACTCATGGACTTGTCACAAAGGCATCTTTTATTCAACATACTTAGTGCTGAACTCTTCATCTTCCCTCCAACCTGCTCATCCCCGTCAGTGGCATCACTTGCCTACCCATTGCTTCACCTTGTAGGTGATTCTCCAATTCCTCCCTCTCTCCATCCTTCACAGCCACATTTGTCAGGTCTGTTACTTTCACTTCCTCAGTTGCCCTTGTGTCTGTTTATTTCTTTCCCCTCTTACCTCTGTTGCCTTAGTTCAGGTCCCCATCTCTCATCTAGATTTTACAGTAGCTTCATAATTGGTCATACTGTCCATATAAATGTTAGCTACTATTGTTATCATTTCTCACAGAATCAAATCCAGTCTTTTTAACATAGGGCTGGATTTCAAGCCTCATTGGCGCTCTGTATTCTGATCATGTACCTTCCATGTACTAAATCATTCACCTACTGAAAATCTCACAGGGACTCCTAATTGCTTATGCAGGGGGCTGATCTTCAGGGGAAGGAAGAACATTTTGCTAATTGTTGAATTCCCCAACCTTAAGGCCCTACCACAGCAGCCAGCACCTAACAGGTATCCATTGACTATTTACTAGGTTGAAATTAATGGAGTTAGCCAATATCCTAGGATGCCTGTTAATTTTCATAGTATGACAACGATTTCCTATATCTTAAAAATAGGTGTATTTCATTGTTAGGAAAAGTCTGCTTAGCTTTTACATTATAAAACAGAATAGCTAGGAACTTGGCATTTAAATATTTTCTATCCTCACTCTCCACATTTTCATTGTGGAAATCTTTTAAAATAGTTTGCAGCTGTACTCACATTTATAAACAGTCCACATCCTGGAAGAGCATGTTTATTAGTAGCATCTTATGAACAGAAGCTGAACCAGGGAGAGACATGTAATGGAATTTGTGACTTAGGTACAAATGAGAAATAATACAAAAACAGAAACTTGAGTGAGTTGATTCTGCACACGATTATTTAAAGAAGAGTACTGCTATTTTTTTCTTTAGTATTTCATCATCATCCAGGATATTACACTGATTTTTAACTTGAATTTAGTGCAGATAAATATTAGAATGGGTATTTCCTTTGAGAAAAAAAATAATTTCTAGGGTGATCAAAGTATGTTATCAATTGCCCAGTATGTTTATTGTACTAAGATCTGGGTATCCTCTTACTTAACATTGTTAAACATGCACAGTTTCTCTCTCTCTCTCTCTCTCTCTCTCTCTCTCTCTCTCTCTCTCTCGCACGCTTAGAGGATTAGAGAGGCTTCTTTCATATTTGTTAGGTGCATTTTCATGAGAATACAGTTTCTATTTTCAGCAGTACATCCATTCTTCTGTTTGGTCTTCACTTGAAGGCATATTCTCCTTGTGAAATTTTAATTGTTTCTATAACACCCCTGTATTTGCAATCTCACTTTTAAAAGCTAGTAGCTTCAGGTGAAGAATAAGCAATAGAAACAGATTGGCTGTTGGTAGTGGTGTTATTTAGATCTCCTTGCTTCAATTCTAATGAAGTTTAGAGAATGAAGGAGGAGAATGTTTATCAGGGTAAATATTGGCCTGTGAACACAAAATAATCATGATTGTTAACAGAGTTTCATGACCAAGAATATGAGATTAGGATTCAAATCCCAGCTGCTTCACTTATCATTTGTATGACCTTGAACAAGTTATTGAACTGCTTTGAGCCTAAAGAACTTTGTCTTTAAAATGGAGATAATAATAGCATCTTCAGAAGGAGTAAAAACATAATGAGAAGGATGACCAACATTTTTAAAGCACCTAAGAGGTATGGATCATTATTCTTGTTTCACCAATGATGAGCAGAGCTTATAGAGCGTAAGTCAGCTCACACAGTTGGATGTGATGGAGCTGGGTTTGAACCACCACATAAAGTGTTTCATGCAGTGCCTGCCATATGCATTCCCGTATTAGCTGTTATTATGTTCATTATACAGAATTCTCCCAATGATAACTTTTTCTGAATTTTTTTTTCTGATTTCCCATTGTGTTTACACCAAAAACTTTCTGGTTGGAAAGCATTTTCTGTTCATAGGAAGTTGTGGGTAGAAATGAATGCAATTTCCCAGCATTTAAAGATTTGTTTGCAGTGTTCATGGCTGTTTGGGTCTCCTTATGTAATTTTAATAGATACAAGGTAGTACTTTCATATATGAATTAACCTTAAATACTTTTAGTTCTTTTGGCTAACATACTGGGAATTCTATATCTGAAGATGGGTTCAGTGATATCTATTGGATTCTGCATTCATGTTCCTCCCTTTACCTTATACAAGAATACGGAATTACATCATTTCTTTTCTTGGGGGAAAATAGTGGTAGAAAGGGGATGAGAGCTCTGACTCTTACTTTTCTCAGGACTCCTCACTAACTCTGTGGCTTTTGTAGGGGAGGTGGTCCTTCTGGTTAATATGCCTGCGGATAGCCCCGCTGAAGAAGGCCAGCCCCTGCCTGATGGGAGGACAGCAACCCCCACCAGCACCTTCAGCCAGCAAGACATCAATGAAGGCATCGTGTGGTACAGGCACTCGGGAGTCCCAGCCCAGAGTGACTCCTTCCGCTTTCAGGTACCCTTTGCTTCCTGACTTTTCTGATGTCTGAATGGTCTGATGAACACCATCACCGTTATTTACAAGCAACTTGGGAAATTTTCTGTGATTGCCTAGAAATCATATTTGGGGGAAGAGGAAATGTAACTAATAGTATTGAGAGATATTTTTAATCTGCTAATTTAATCTTATAAATATCTCTACAAGCAGAGTCATTTTACAGCAAGGAGATTTATAATAGATAATGGCTAGAGTGTTTAGGAAAATAATGTTTCCAGAATATTAAAATACTTATTTAAGTATTTTAATATAAAATACTTATTTTAATATAGTCTTATTTTCTTTTTTTCAAATGTTTTTGGAACATTTACCATCTTCTGATAAGATCATAGACTTGATAGCCAAACTCAGTGGGTTCATATTTCAGTTCTGCCACGTATTAACTAATTTTGGGGGAAATTACTTGGAAAAATACTTGTCCTTCAGATTCCTCACCTGTAGAATAGAATTATTGTAAGGATTTAATGAGTTAATACATAGAAAGCATTTAGAATACTGCCTATCACTAGGTAAGGATTGTTACTACCACCTATAAAGATTGGTCAGATACCAGTACTGTCAACTGAATGTTTGTGTCCTGAAATAATTAATATCTTCATACCTGCCCCTCCCCATGTGGTAGGTGATTAGCATTAGATGAGTGGGATTAGTACACTTACAAGAGTCACAGGGGAGCTGCTCCCCTCTCTACTCCCCACCATTGGGCTACAGTGAAAAGATAGCAGTCTACAACCCCAAACCCAATCCTGCTGGCACCCTGATCTCAGACTTCTAGCCTCCAGAAGTAGGAGAAATACATTTCTGTTGTTTATGAGCCACGCAGTCTGTGGCATTTTTGTTATAATAGTCTAAGCCAGCTAAAACAACCAGATCATAAGAAGACTGTCAATAAATGAAAGAACAAGAAATGGTACTGGGGATATTCTCTGGTTATTATGAAATACTAGAGGCCCAGTGCACGAAATTCGTGCACTTGGGAGGGGGATCCCTCAGCCCAGCCTGCACCCTCTCACTGTCTGGGAACCCTTGGGGGATGTCCAACTGACGAGCCATCAGTTGGACTTCCTTAGTGCTGCTGTGGAGGCAGGAGAGGCTTCTGCCACTGCCATTGCGCTTGCCAGCTGTGAACCTGGCTTCTGGCTGAGTGGTGCTCCCCCTATGGGAGTGCACTGACCACCAAAGGGCAGCTCCTGTATGGAACGTCTGCCCCCTGGTGGTCAGTGCGTGTCATAGCAACCGGTTGTTCCGCCTTTTGATCAATTTGCATATTAGCCTTTTATTATATAGGATAATTAGAAATCCATTTTAAAAAGGTAAAAAAGTTCAAACCATTTGGAATTTTTAAAATAGTCTCCCAAATAATTATACTTCTTAAAGGAAATCAAAATAGGAAACTATTAAGAAATAATGATGAAGAGGAAATAAATTATCAGTACTTCAATGATCTGGATAAAATAACACTCAAGTAAATTGATGGTCTTAAGCTCATATTATTGAGCAGAAGATCATGAAAATAAATCAACTAAATATTTAGCTCAAGAAGCTAGAGAACTACAAAGGAAACCTAAGGAAAGCAAAGAAAGGAAGAAATTAATAGAGATAAGCACACAACTAATTATAAAATGCTAGAATTGATAAGTGAGTACAAAACTTCATTCTTTGGAAAGACCAATAAATTAGACAAACCTCTGTCATGGACAAATTGGAAATAAAGAACTGAACAGAAGTACAAAGGAATGAGGGAGTATGAATGAGAAAGAGCATTTAAACATAGATACAGAAGAGAATTTGGGAAAATGTAGAGAAAATATAGAGATGCATTCATGATGATCAGCCAAAGCCCCTCTGAGCCTGAGACTCTTCTTTTGTCTCGAATCCAGCTGGAGGTAAACTACCCCAATAGCTCACCTTGTTAAAATCATCATACATTCTGCCTCCAAGGCCTGGGGTGCACATCCTCATTGCTTGACTAATTTATATGATATAAAGGATGTGCTTTTCCAGAGAGCAAGTTGAAATAAACTTGGGAACCATTAAAAGGAGATTTTACTAGCACATTAATGTCCAATGAGTGAGAGCAAACATTTGCCCTTTACTGGAATTAACTTTTCATTTTTAGCACCTGGGGACTCAGCAGTCCTCAAAGAATGAGTCAGAATGGAGGCAAAGACTTCAATCAAAGAAGTCACCTCAGCAAACTAGAATCCTCAGCTCTGCCTTTGCCGTCCTAGGCCTGAGGAAGAACATTACCAACATGGAGCATTTCCCCAGAAAGGGATTCTCAGCACCTGCTCATAATGATATTTGATTGCTTTTGCAAGTTGGTTACTAAGTGGGTAATTATGAAATAGCTAAATTTACTGATTTTTTTTTAAACAAACTCACTTGAGTTTAAGACATTCTGTTGAACATCATTACTTAGTAAGTGGTTCCCTTTGAAGAATCTTCACACATTTTGCTCAAAATGTGTTTAGAACTCCTATTGGAAATCTCCTGCCAAACCCATGGGATACTCTGAAGAATATCCTCAATAGTGACGGTATGGCATCCTTTGGAAGTAGATTTTAAAATGTAACCATATAGCCAGTCATTCAGAATCATGTCTGGTATGAAGAAGAGAGTAGTAATTACTTTGGGTCGAAACAGGGAGTAATTATAAAGTAACAAGTACAAAGTGATTTTTGAACTCGCTTGGAAGGCATTTCAAAAGTGCATTTTGAACACTCACAGCGTATTTATTGCACGTATGAAACAGCTCTCTGAGATCCTGTTCTCCTGGATGTAAAAGATTTGGTGTGCTTGTTTTTAAAGTCTCATTGTTTTATGGACTTACCTCATATTCTGATTTGAAATGACGCAGACACTTTAACTATGTGCCAAAATAAACAGCAACTTTCCCCATTCATTTTAATGTCCCTCAAGGATTTTAAACTAAAAGAAAATGCTGTTTTCATGATTCTCCTTTTTCTTCCCTTTTTTTCTTTCAAGCAAAACTTGCAATACAATGAGTTGCATCAGTTTCATTTCATTTTAATGTTTATGTGCTGTCATGAGCCATCAATGCATTCCATCTGTTACTTTGCCTGTAAGATGTGGGATTTATGTAATGCTTGTGGCTTTTCAAAATAAAGCATGGCATAGGGAGAAGAAAGCACGCACACTTATGTCACTTTTGGCCTGGGCAGAAGCCCTGGTCTTGATATATTCAGATCATGTTGACATAGCCTCAGGGGACATTGTTTTAAAAAGACCAACATGGTTCACACCAGTATCTTGACTAAGGAATCAAGAACAGATTCCCTTGTTTGGCAATATGCTCACATTTTATTACCTGCAGAGCATTCTTCAAGAGATGGGAGAACATGTTTTCCTAAAGCTTTGAGACTGAGTCATCTTGGTCAGTAGGAAGACCATGGTCCGCTAACCTGTTAAATACCAACCCTTTCGTTTTTGTGTGATTTTTGACATTTTGCTTAACTTTTTTGAGCATCAGTTTCCTCATCTGTAGAAAAGGAGATAATATCCACTTTGTGGGTATTATATGTGATGACTTTTGAGAAGTAGCTAGCCCATGGTAGACATTTAGTGAATTATAGCTGTTGTTACTCATATTATATATAGTAATACTGTAAGATGGCACCTTGACAACCTGTAGATATTCTGAATTTAAGCTCCAGGCATTGGATGTGATTAAGATACAGGGAGGACAGTTTTTAAGATTTCTTTTTTAAGAAAATAGTTTATTGATTTTTTTTTAGAGAGAGAAGAAGGCAGAGGGAGAGAAACATCGATATGAGAGTGCAACATCAATTGGCTGCCTCCAGCATGCTCCCTACCAGGAATGAAGCCCACAACCCAGGCATGTGCCCTGACAGGAGATTGAACCTTCAAACTCCTGGTGCACGGGACGACACCCAACCAACTAAGCCACATTGGCCAGGGCAGAGAAGACAGTTTTGTTGTTGTTGTTGGCCTAACGGTAGAAGACATAAGAAAGGGCTGCTATTTCTGCCTATTTCTTAGAATGCATGGCACCCTACTTCCTCTCATATGAAATTAATGCAACTACACAAGGCCACACAGGCCTTAGCAATTCTTGTAACAAGCCTCAGCTGGAGCAGATCACAGACGAGAGCGTGAGGGAGCAGCTCAGTAGCCCTGAAGGAGGGGAGAAGCTGCATGGTGAAAATCATCACTGTTTTCAGCATTTTTGAAGCAAGAAAAATTTGATTTTGTGATCACTAATTATTATGGCTCTTGCCTTGCAGTGATTAGGCTATGATGTGTCATTTATAACCTGATGTGTCTGTGTTTGGGTACAAATTTTAAAAATGGAATAAAAATCACATATCTAACATGTGTTGTGTGTGCTCACAGTGAAGTATTATGCAGCTATCAAAAATTGTGTTTTGAAGAATGTTTAATGTATTACGTTCAGTAAAAATTTATAGGACACAAATGAATATAGAGTTTGACATATGCATAGGAAAAAGATTAAACTAAAATGCATCAATGTGTTAATAACCACTATTTGTAATATTGTAATTCTAGATGATTTATTTATGTCATATTTATACTTTCCTGCATTTTTAGGATTACCTAAAAGGATTATGGCTACCTTTGTAATGCAGGAGCAGATGGAATTCAAAGACAGATATTTAAAGGTGGGGCAGGGGGATAAACACATGCAACATGCTCTGCCCAACTGAGGCTCACCAGTAGGACATTTCTTTCCAGGTTTCCAGTGCCATCGATGCCCACACCCACCTGGAGAGCCGCATGTTCAACATCGCAATCTTACCACAGACGCCTGAAGCACCTCAGCTCTCTCTGGGAGCGTCTCTCCATATGACTGTGAGTTGGTCGGGAGGACTCTTGGTTTCTAAGGCATATTGACGGGATCTGACAGAATGACCTGTTTTTTTTGTATCTGGTGAATGCCTGGCCCAGAACCCAGACCATACCATCCTGTAAACACATTTCTCCTTGACTTGAAAAAGATACTTCAATTCCCAGAGTGACAGGAAACATAGATGGAATTCACCTCAAACTCTTATCCATTGCTGGTGTCCTCTTTTCAGCATCCCAGACAGTCACAGGACTCCTCATTGCGTAGTTAGAAGGGATTTCAGGCCTATATCTGTTTAATCAGTACCTTTTGGGTATAATTACTCAGCTAGTTATAGCTCCATATAGCTGGAGAAACTGTCATTCCATTTCTTAGAGTCCTATTAGAAGTTTCCTTTCTGTTATCAACGTTTCCCAAATTAGCAGATATCTATGCTGAATCCAGAGAGATAAGTAGCAATTATCCAAGGGAAAGTTTTGGGGGCAGGTGATGGCAAAGGGCACTAAAAGACGTAAAACATAAAAACAGCACATGCAAAGACCCAGAGGCCAAGGAGAATATGATTGTTGGGGAAAATTGTAAATAGTTTAATAAGACTGGAAAAATGAGGACAGCAGAGGGGAAATGGTGAGGATGGAGAGGCCGTGAGCTCCATCGAAAGCGGACCTGCCTCCTGTGTGGGAAGAGCACGGGCTCATGGAAAGGATTGAAGTGAGGCGACAGCTATATTAATTCAGACAATTAGCAGCCCCACTGCAACCCTGTATCTAGGGGCAGGAGTGATGCCAGGACCCCTCTTTAAGTCAGAGCCACAGCATCTAAGACTGCAAATGAATCATTACGGACCTGCATTTTAGTTAGCGCCCACATAATTACACTCCAAAATATATCAGCCTTGAGCCATGACAAAGAAATCACCTGCAGTTTTAGAAATTATGGGTCTGGGGCACGACAGAGACATAAAAGGGGAAATAGGAGGTTTTTAATGAATAGCTGATATCGGCATTTCCACTGTAAACCATAATTTAAAGAAATCATAATTCAGTAGCACTATAAAGTCTATAATTCATCATTCTGACTGGAGGAACTTGGATCAGAATTTCCTTTAAAATGTGAAGAAAAATGTGCATGCCTGTTTTTTGCCAAATGCTAATGCACTGTTATTTTGACTTTAGAGGGGGGAAAAAATGGGCCAGGAGCCACTAAGATGGCGCCGTTCCCACTCCATTGCTATGGACCGCTAGACTTTTCAAGCTCCTTAACCTTTAGGGTCTTATATTGCTAGTTTTCAAACTAGATCTGTCCAATTTAGGATATCACAAAGGTTAGTTTATCATAAAATGCAATTAGCCTAATCTTCAGTGCCATAAAATATACATAGTTTGTATTTCTTTTATTTTCTTAATTTTTAAAATATATTTGTTTATTGATTTCAGAGAGGAAGGGAGAGGGAGAGATAGAAATACCAGTGATGACAGAGAATCATTAAATCTTGCATGCCCCGTCCTGGGGATCAAGCTCGCAACCTAGGCATGTGCCTGACTGGGAATTGAACCATGACCTCCTGGTTCATAGTTGACACTTAACTACTGAGCCACACAGACTGGGCTTCAGTCATACATTTTTGAGCCCCTTATTTGTGCCAAGTGCTAGAGATGACATTGGTGGCTTGATGACCATAAAATACAGTCTCTATTCTTAAGGAACTTAGAGTCTAAAATGGGAGAGGAGCGAATTAACAAACACTGACAATATAACGATACATGCCATGACATGGACATGATATGGAAGCAAATAAGAGACACCTGACCCAGTAGGGGGGTGGCAAGGTCATGGAAGGCTTCCTATGGGGGGTGAACAAAGCTGGTTGAAGTGAAAGATTGTCTCTAAAGCAGGGTCTCAAACTTCAGCCTGCACTAAGATCACCTGTAGCGTTTGTTACATCACACATGGCTGGAGCCTACCCCAAAGTTTTCTAATTCAGTCCGTCTGCTGTAGGGCTGAGTTTCTAACGAGTTCCCAGGTGGTTCTATTGCTGCTGCTCTGCTTGAAGAACCACTTCAAGAAATAGGGGGACATTCATTGTAGACAAAGGAACAGCAGGTGAAAAAAGATGGGGATGTGGGAGAACATGACATATTGAGCAATGAGAATTCATGTGGCCGGAGCATAAATTCCTAGGTGAAGAAGAAACAATATATGAAAGTCACATCCTGGAGGACCTTAAGATAAAGTGAAGGGATTTCCACTGTGTCCTGAAAGGCTCTTGGGACAAATACTATGTAGCAGACAGGCAACCTGATCAGATTTTCAATTTAGGAAAGTCATTCTGGCTGCAGGGTAGAAAATACTCTAGATGGGGACCGATAGGGAGCACGGAAATGCACCACTGCAGTCATTTAGAACAAGAAGGTTAGTGGCATGATACCATGCAGTGGCAATGAAGATTAAAAGTTAGTGAGATCTTGAAGAGATACTTGTACATCCATGCTCATTGCCACACTATTCACACTAGCTAAGAGGTGGAAGCAGCCTAAATGTCCTTTGGCAGATAGATGGATAGAAAAAATGTGGTATACACAACAATGGAGTATTATTCAACCTTTAAAAGGGAAATCTGGTCATATGCTACAATATGATTGAACCTTAAGGACATTGTACTAAGTGAAATAATCCAGTCACAAAAAGACAGTCTGATGATTCTACTTATATGGGCTATCTAATATAATCGGACTCTTAGAAACAGAAAGGAGAATGGTGGTTGTCCCTGTGAGGGCAGGGGTGGAGGTGGGGAGAGGAAAAAAAGGAGTTTTGTTCAATCCATACAGAATTTCAGTTTTGCAAGTGGAAAAACTTTCTAGAAATCAGTTGCATAACAATATAGGTAACAGTACTGTATTATACACTTAGAAGTTTTTAAGGTCGGGGGGACATTAGAGAAAGATTAAGAGATATTTATAGATATCCTGGTCAATTAGATGTGACAGGAAGGTGAAAAGCCCCAATTTCTGAGTATATTAAGAAGCAATCACCTCATACCTCTCAGAATGGCTACAATCAACAAATCAATAAAATGACAAGTGCTGGTGAGGAAGTGGAGAAAAGGGAATCCTAGTACACTGCTGGTGGGAATGCAGACTGGTGCAGCCATTATGGAAAACAGTGTGGAGTTTCCTAAAAAATTACATATGAAATTGCCATTTGATCAAGTGGTCCCACTTTTAGGAATATATCCTAAGAAACCCCAAACACCAATCAGAAAGAATGTATGTACCTCTATATTTATAGCGTCTGGAAACAGCCCAAGTGCCCATCAGTAGATGAGTGGACAAAAAGTTGTGGTACCTTTTCACCATGGAATACTATGAAGCAGTAAAAAATAAGCCAGTCCCAGAAAGACAAATATTACAAGATCTCACTCATATATGGAATCTACTGAACAAAATAAACTGTTGAACAAAATAGATTGAGAGACATAGAAACATGGGACATACTGTGGAATCTCAGAGGGAAATAGAAAAGAAATCAAGTTATCATCCACAAAAGCATTTTAAAGAATCTTTAAATTATATATTTTCACATAATAAACTTTTTTTCAAAAAAAGAAGCCATTCATTGAGATAGAAATGTATGAGGACTTTAGGGGGAAGGGTGGAAATCATGATGAGTTCCATTTGGGGTGTGTCTATTAAGGGTGGTTAGGAGATCAGTAGATATTCTGGGTGAGAGATAAACTATTAAGAATCACTAATGGTTTGTAGTGGTTAACTATGAACATAACTGGAACATAACTAAGAAAGATTGAATAGAGTGAAAAGCAACATAATCAAATACCTATCTAAATTGAAATTGGTTCTGTGGCCTTTCTGGAATTATGTTATTCATCAAATCTAAGATCCTCTAAATGGGATCTTATGGTTTAATTTGCAGTGTTCATCAGAATTATACGTAATACACATATATAAGATATGTATATACATATGTATAATATTATAAGATACAGAGCTATATAAGTACAAATGATACATATACATTTAGGATCCATAGTATATATGGGCAAGACATGCATATTTAACAATAAATATCCTATATAATAAAAGGCTAATATGCAAATAGGCTGAATGGTGGAACAACCAGAACAACCGAACAACCGGTCACTCTCACATGCTCAGGCCACTGGGGGCGTTTGGGGAACATGGTGGATGTTGGCTGCGGCAGGATGGTAGAACAGGTGAGCGGGGGCACCAGACCAAGGTGAGCGCCAGTTGCTGTCATCGGGGTGAGCCTCTGGTAGTTACTGAAAATTCTTTGCGCCTGTGTGCCGCGGTCTGGCCCGGTGCTTGCACCACCAGCCCTGCTCTCACATGCTCAGGCCACTGGGGGCGTTTGGGGAACATGGTGGATGTTGGCTGCGGCAGGATGGTAGAACAGGTGAGCGGGGGCACCAGACCAAGGTGAGCGCCAGTTGCTGTCATCGGGGTGAGCCTCTGGTAGTTACTGAAAATTCTTTGCGCCTGTGTGCCGCGGTCTGGCCCGGTGCTTGCACCACCAGCCCTGTTCGTACACGCGCCAGAGCCGCCACTCGTACCCACTGCCAGTGCCCGGCGCTGGTCCTCATCGCTCAGTGCCATGAGCGGGTGCGAGCAGCAGCTGCTGGCTGTGATCACCCCTGAGGGCTTTTCCACCTTCCCCTGCTCCTGAGGGATGATGGGGCCAGCAGCTGCCACTCACACCCGCTGCTCGCAACATCTGCAGATGCAAGCGGGGCCGGCGCCATCAGCGGGTGCGAGTGGCAGTGGGAGCGGGACTGCCAGCACACAGAGGACCAGGGGCTATGGTGGGAGGGGCTGGGCGGGGGCGCAGAGGAAGGGTCAAGACCTGCCCCTGTGCCTGCCACAGCCTTGCAGCCCACAATTCCTTTCAAGGTGCACGAATTCGTACATTGGGCCCCTAGTAGCCTAGATAGTATAAGATTATGCAAATGAGTTAATAGATTCACATCAACTCAAAGTTTTCCAAGTAATCATCCACTATTTGACTTGGAAAATCCTTAAGGGCAAAACTTTTGATTAATTAATCTTTTTAAAAAATATATGTTTTTATTGACTTTTTTCAGAGAGGAAGGGAGAGAGATAGAGAGTTAGAAACATCTATGAGAGAGAAACATCGATCAGCTGCCTCCTGCACAGCTCCTGCTGGGAATGTGCCCGCAACCAAGACACATGCCCTTGACTGGAATCGAACCTGGGACCCTTCAGTCTGCAGGCCGACGCTCTATCCACTGAGCCAAACCAGTTAGGACTGATTAATTAATCTTGGTATCTTCTTCAGCATCTCACACAATGCCATATACAAAGTAATTGCTTAGTAAATATTTGCTGATTAAGTGAATATTTTCAGACCTATTTTCTCATAATAACTCCCTAAACTGTATCCCTTCCAAATTCAAATAAATTAATCATATAGGAACACACACACACAATTTGAATATCATGTTTCCCATTCCTTTCTTAAAGGGCAAATAAATTCTATTATCTCTTAATGTGAAAGACACATTATTTATTAGTTCCTTTTTCAAATGGTTGCAATACTCAGGGTTGGGTTGGCCAAAGTCACCACTTGTGGGAAAGGCCTTTAATAAGCTTTTCTTTCCTGGTTTCCTTTGTTTTCAGAGTGATTGCTATAGCAGAGTTCTCTTAAGACCACTCTATTGGGCCCAGCAGGGATCCAGTTAGATGATCTCTTTTGTGATGCAGACTCAAGTCTGGGCTTGCTCTATTTATTGTGTGGCAGCCAGCTTCTGTGTCCATGTTTATACTTGAGACCTGTCAGAAACTAATAGGATTATTATCTGCAATCTCGGGAAGTGTTTGTTTACCCTTGGGATTCTTGCTGTGCTTTATCTGAGCTTTTCACACCACTCAGAATTTCCTACCTTAGATTTATTTATGATTTTCCCCTACAAAAAACTAGAATTCCTTGAAGAAAGTGTCTATATATGATTTATCTTGTATGTCCCACAGCTCTTTGCTTGGTACCTTGCAGGTAGTAGGTTCTTAATAATTTGCTACATGAATATATGAATGAATTAATTTGCTGTCCTAACTAATAAACTATGGAAGAAGATAATTTATTGTAGGACCTCTATTTTATTGAACTCATCTCATTATTCATGGGTGCCTGACTTCTGAGGCCCACTGTGGGCTTTGGTCTTTAATAGAATGGCAATCAACATGTGAAATTGATCTTTTTAAATAGAGGGTGAAATGATAATCTTTGTAAATCCTGACCTAGAAGTTTAAGTTATGCACACTTTGCTAAGGCTTAAGTGTTAAAATGTTTGTGTCCCCATCCCCCATCCAATTCTTCAGGTGACATTGAAATGCAATGGAAAGTATTCTAAAAAAAGTTACTGAATATGTTATTATACAAAGTATTTTATTATTTTATTTCTTAGCTTAATCTTTTTATGATGATATGTGTAGGGAGCGGCTCTAGAGTTAAACCTCGGATTGACCGGTGGCAGAGCCACAAACAAATCCCAGCTCAGAGAGCAGAACCCTCTTAGCATAATTAAGCTTGATCTTATGATGCTCCCTAGATCCTTCCTGGGTAGCTAATGGGCTGTGGGAGATGCAGCAAGTGCTGCCAAAACAAGTGAAACTCACAAGAACATTGTCACTATGTTGACCACTACCTTGTTTTTCTCTGGCTATAAAATCAAGCCTCAGCTTGCTGGCTGGATCCTTCTCTGTGGCCTCATCCAGGCACAGGAGATCCACCAGCCCCAGCTGTATTCTCTTTGTCTGTCTTTTCTTTAATCCTTCACCGCCCCTCCTCAGGCTCACCGAACCCTTGGCTGTGCTGGCACGGCACAGATATGTTTCATTCACTCAACAGATTTTTATCAAGTAATGTTATGTGACATATGCTAGGTGGTTGGGATCCACCCACCCATAAATGAACACAATCCTTGTTCTTATGGAGTTTGCATTCTCTTAGGTATAAGTAATAAAAAAAAACAACTCACTTATAGCATGTTAGTGAGAAGTGTTACGGTAAAACAAAATGTAGGTCAGGGACAAGGGTGTTAGAAATGCAGTGGTGGGAGCAGAGGAGACCTATGTTTTAATTTTAAATAAGGTGGTTGGCATGGCTCAGTGGTTGAGTGTCAACCTATGAACCAGGAGGTCACGGTTCAATTCCCTATCAAGGCATATGTCCCAGTTGTAGGCTTGATCCCCAGTGTGGGGCGTGCAGGAGGCAGCCAATCAATGATTTTCTCTCATCATTGATGTTTCTGTCTCTCTCTCCCTCTTCCTTCTCTGAAATCAATAAAAATGTTTTAAAAAATTAATTAATTAATAATGTGGCCAGGGTGGACTTTATTAAGATAATGACATTTAAAGAAAGACTTGCAGGAAGTGAGGGAGATGGCCACGCACATACTCAGAAAAGAGCATTCCAGGCCCAGGGAACCATGCATTTACAGGCATCCAGCTGAAAGCTTGCTTAGATGTTCAAGGAATAGCAAGGAAACCAGTAGGGCTGGAGCAGAGTGAGTGAAAGCAAGTGTAATTGACATGAATTCACAGATGTGCTAAGTGTGTGCGGGAGCGAAGGGGACAAGTCATGTCTGGCCTTACCATTATAGGGATTTCGCTTCTATTCTGAGTAAAATGGAGAGCCAATCAGGGTGTTGAGCAGAGGGCTACTGTCCTTGTTAAAGGGATCATGCTGACTGCTGTGCTGAAATTACCTGGGGGCTGTGGGATGGGGCAGGAGAGCAGCTTGGAGGTCATCCTGGTAACCCAGCAAGGTGTTGGCAATGACCATGGGGAGAAGTGGTTGGATTCTGGATATATGCAGAAGTAATATGAGTATTATAAACTCATTATTCTGTAAGATTCTCTTGTTGACAGATATTTAATAAAAAGTGTCTTCTGTAATGATTTCTATGAAATTTAATTTCTCATTTCTTACTATGTTTAATTGATGAGTATTAAACATTCCAAATAGGCAATATTAAAATTGATTATACTTTGATACATCTCAACCTTAATATTGCTTTCTTTGGAGAATTAAGTCCTTTTTCTACCTAGTGTATATTTCTATTAGTAGAGAAATAGTATCCATAAATTTCATGGATATGAAATATCAGATGCCTTGGCTGGTACATATTTCTCTTTTCCATAGTCCTATGTCCATGCTAATTCTCTCTTCTTATCACTTTATTGTTTTAGGAACATCTAGATTTTTAAAAATATCATATAATACTCAGGATTTGCAGTCATTCTGATGGTTTTGAGATTACGAAGGAGGCAAACAGACCAAACAATATATTGAGCCTGCACCTTTTTGTCCATGCATCTGTGCACACACACGTCCACATTTATAGCTGTGTGCACACATTCATGGGCTGTAAACACCTTATATAGGGCATATGTTTTTAATTTGTTGCCCTTACTTGTTTTATTTTAGGGTGAGACACCAGGTACTATTTTGCAATCCTGATTTTCCTTGCTCTGTACATTCCAGAGCCGAGCAAGGCCTGAAATATGACTCTTTACGACAGGAGGATTGTCCTAACCTGCTACTGCTGCCTCTCCCCAGGACAAGTATGCCTTGGGGACAATTAAAAGAGCAACTGTAAACTTCAATCTTTTTGTGGTTACAAGGAAGAACACCACGCTCTCCTCCATGAGAATTACTGAGCCCTACTTTCCTAAAGAGGGAGACTTCTTCTGAAAGAAGGAAAGCTTCAAAGAGCAGGAGAGGCTGTCAAACTCTAACCCTTCAGGGGTTAGGAAGAGCCTGCAAAAGAGCCTGATATTTTCATTCTGATTTATTGACAGCTTGTGTGACCCAGTCAAAGGGCCCGTGCTCTCCTTACTTTCCCCTCTCTTCCCTCCACTGTATTTTTGCTGCTGTCCCCAACTCACTGTTATGCCTGGTCAAGGGATTCTGAGTCTCTCTCCCTGGCCCCTTTTTTGAGTTTTGTCACTGTTAGTCAGTGATAGATGTTCACAGGTGAATGAATAGTAAAAGCTACGTACACATTGGCCTTCTGATTAATTTTGCTTGAGTCTTCATTGGGTTCTGAAAACTAGAAGAGAAAATCAATATCTAGTTCATTTGAGTAGTAGCATGGAGACAAAGAAATATTGACTAGTTCAATATTTACTTTAATAAACAAATAATTCTTAAATCTCTGAATTCAAATGATGAGCCTCTGTTGGTTTTTGAGTTCATCTTTAGTCCTTGAACCCATCACAGTTTCAAAAAACACACAAACCAAAGCAGAAAGAATCAAAGTTCCTGTCAGCAAGGCTAGGGAGGGGGGAGGGCAGGTAAGAAGGAACTTTTTACCAGATGAACTTTAGCTCGTTAAGTTGGAGGAGCAAAGATGTAGCAATCCAGCTGTGAATACTAGAATATCCAGCTGTGGTGGCTCATTTTCAAACCTGCAGCACTGTGAGCTCCACCTAGGGAAAGTGATCATATTAGGATTCCCAGAGCATGCATTAACATAAACCTGGGGCAGAGGGCAGGGGGGAGAAGAGTCAGGGTGCAAGAGGACATGGAGAGGACTCTATAATCCTGCGAGATTTCTAAGGCTGGGACCAGTCTGTGGTGCAAGAGACCAGCCCCTTCTGTTGAACTCTCAGAGAAAATTTTGTTATGTGTGACTAATTTAAAAGCCCAGAGTGAGTTTGTTTTAATAAGGTTTGTTTTTGCCCCTGACCATTCTTCCTTCTTAAACTTTGTTTAGGCTCGGGAAGATGACCTGACTGTGATTCAGCCTCATTCTCTCTCTTTTGTCAACTCTGAGAAGCCAAGTAGAAAGATTATATACAATGTCACTTTACCTCTGCATCCAAGTCAAGGTAAGATGTGCAGTGAATGATCTCTTAAATGATGTCTTCTAGCTGTTGATGAGTCTTAAAAGCTCTGGAGTTTTGTCCACTTATACTTACTGAATTTTCAGAAGTAACAATTATTGATACCCCTTGTTCCCATCCTATGAGTTTAGAACCAATTGAGAAAGAGAGAGAGACATCGTGGTCAGATCTATGGAGATGAATGTGTCAACTTTGGTATCAACAGAGTTGTCCTGGAGAACATAATGTGCATATAACTTCATTCACTGGATTGAGCTCCTCTGCCTGTGCACAGGCAGAATTGGACAGACACAGGCACTGTCTGTAGGGACAGAGCCTGCCCTGGTGTGGTTATAGGTGAGCAGGCCAGAGAATGTACTAAGGACAAGGAGCTCTGCCAGAGAGTTCAGAGGGCACTGAGCCACCCATACTCAGTCCCTTTCCCAATTGGATAAGTCTCTCCTCCTCCCATAGGGGATCATGGGAATGTGGAACTATAGTCAGAGAAGAGGTGGGCCCCTACCATCGGTCCTCAGCCTGAAGATCTCTGAACGCTGGGTTTAACTAATAGGCCTATGCCCAAAGAGAGGTGGTGGAGAGGAGATCAGCTTCTATTAAGATAATTCTGCTTCTCTCTCTCAGGCTGCTCTGTCAAGACCAGTCCCTGCCCTAAATGTAAGCCTTTCAGATGATCAAATTCCCAGGAAGTAGTCAAAGTCTAAAAATTCCATTACCCTTTTGATAAAATCCAAATAAATTAAAAGTCTAAAAGTCTCCATCCACCATTTTTACTCTGTGAAGTCATAGCTAGACTCGTTCTCCCTGTGTTGCCAGGGAGAGATGAAGTACTTTCAGACTTGCATCCTGATGGACTGTCTCTCAGCCCTTCAGAAGTTGAATTAGTCCAACACTAAGCCTCACTCATGTCCTCCTTTGGAAGAGGTAATAAGACATGAAAGATGATCACAGCATCAGTTCTGTTCCTGAAAAATTTAGAAATGACAGGCAAATAGACAGCTCCTAAAGCATTTATCACAAGCAGCGTGATCATTGTAAATCCAGGTCTTAGAATAGTCAAGACCCATGTTACTATTGCCAGAGATCATCACTAAGGAGTTCCTGAAAGAAAGAGGGTAGATGGATAAAAATCTCTCTGCAGCTCACCAGGAGACCAGTCTGTGCCATTCCCCAGTCACCTTGACCTTTGAACTTAAACTCAATTGAGAGAATCTCATAATTACGGTACAGTGTCTATGACTTCTGCAGAATTACCTGGGCTCAGCTACAGTAGGGGCAGTTTGTGTCTTTCTATTGTTTATAGTCAACAATTCCTTGTCAAGAGTCTATTTGGGTTTCAGATTTGCATTTTCTTGAATAACAGGAGAATAATATACCAAGAACAACCTGAGAGCAGTAGTTCCTGAAGGATAAAAGGCTCTCGCCAGTGGGAAAGGCAGCTGATGTCTCTGGTGATTCAGTTAGTCATCCAGAACTACTGTTGATGCTCATGTCCAGTCTCCTTCTCCCCAGGTATCATCGAACATAGGGACCAGCCACACTCTCCCATCCGGTATTTCACACAGGAAGATATTAACCAGGGCAAAATCATGTACCGCCCTCCCACAGCAGCCCCCCACCTCCAGGAAATCATGGCCTTCTCCTTCGCTGGTAATGCTTTCTTCTCTATTTTCAGGCACCTAAACTATCTGTGGCTCTTCCTGGCAGGCTCACCCTAACTCTTCCTGTCGTCCTCCTAGGTAGTTTGGTGATGTTGCTTTGTAGCTGTTCAAAATAGCTCGAGACTTGCAGGTTAATATGTACCTTGGGCTCAGTTCATCCCTTTTCTTAATTTATTCATGCATGCAGACATACCTTCAATACATACTTACTTTATGCCTACTATGTGGCAATGAGGCCTTGGATATCTAGTGATAAGCAAAAAGAGGCATGAATCCTGTTCTTGGCGACTTTGGGGTTCTAAGTACTGTACAGAGACAGAATTTGGTAAATGATCTCAGTAATGAATGTTTAATTGCAGGCTGAGATAAGAGCTCTGGTAAGTGGTGGAATTAGATGTAACAACACTGACTTAGACTGAAGGCTCAGTGGAGGCTACCCAGCATGGTATGGACCTGGGAGAAATAGGGAGAAGCTAACTAGGCTAAGTGTGCATATTGGGGTTGTTTAGTTATAGAACATTCCTGAAGAAAGGACACACACCCCTTGTGCAGAGTCCCTGGCGAGGGAGCGAATGTGGTATTCTTGGGATTGAAGAAAAGTCCAGCATGTCTGGAATGTGGATGGTTGAGCAGAGTGGGATGGGTCTGGAAGGAGACAGAGGCCAGACCTTAGAGGCTCTGTACACTTATAGAGATTTAGGTCTTTATCCCAACAACAAGAACCCGGTGGAGGGTTTAGGATCGAGGAGGATGCCTTTTCATAAGGAACTCTTCACCTGCAGTGATATGAATGGATTTGAGGAGGAAGCCAGGGTGGATGGACATGTGGGTGAAAGGAATACAGTGAGAAGGATCCCGCAGTGCTTCAGGGAAGAGCCCATATAGGAGTGGAGAGTGCAAGTGAGCTTTTGGGATTAAACACGGATTTGCCAGGAGGTACCTTTTTAAAGAAAGAGAAGGCTAAGTAAAAGAATAACTGAATTTTTAAATCAAGCCAGTATGTGCCCTGCCACTACACCAAGATAGCCTTAATCCTTACTGCCCCCTGCCCCCCTTATGTCTCCCCTTGACCCAGTAATCAGAGCTGCTCCCGGTAAAGCAGGAGGTTGAGTCCCTATCCTAAATATTTTTGCGCCTCGAAATGATTCTAAAAATCTTGAAGCTATTTCTTTATGATCATTAAGGTATATGTATTACATAATACAACTAATATACAGTATTATTTTTATATGGTAACTTTGATAATATGGAAAAGCCTTTAATTTCTTACGATGAATTGAACATGGATAAAATAATTTTAGAGTTCTGTTTTAAATTATGGGCAACATTTAAGTAATAATTGTCATTATTTATATAACTGTAATTGTCTAGGACATGATTAACTACTCAATTAGATTAAAAATCTCTAAGGATAGGGATAGGCCACTTCTCTAAGGAATATCCCTAGTATTTAGTAACTGGGTAACCAATAGCCCATGAAAATGTTCATGGTTCCCTAACCCCTACTTTATAAGACCTACTTTACAAGAAACTCAGGATATCCTGGGATTAGAGAAAAAGAAAACATGTCAGCCATGGTTGAAGTTATTTCCATATCCATTATACTCGCCTGAGTTCCTAAAGCCTTTTTAGAGAGAGCAGAATCCTGTCCTGTATAATCTATGGGGCAAATGCCATGAGATAAATCTCTCACACTGTTACAGTGTGTAACTCATTGTCCCAGGCATCACTCAATTCTACAGTGGAATTGACCCACCAGACAGCCTTGTCAGTGATATATGACTTCACCCATACTCACAGATTTGTAAGGTTTTATGTACTGATAAAATGGGATCTGAATGAATGTATTATAAATCACTCTGACTACTGTGATATAAAATTATACCACTTTGTGGTTCTTTTGGTTACTTAAAATTAGTGGTGACACTAATTTTAAATTCAACATAACATTATCTAATGGCCTGGTAGCCTTTCCTTAAACTATAATAATTTAGATAAAAACATCCTTTACTTTTCTAACCTCTGCCACATATTTTATTCCTTCCCCATCTATTTCTGACCTCAAAATGTTTAGTACACTGATTTTCTCTCTTCTGTTCTTGCAGGTCTCCCAGAATCGGTGAAATTCCACTTCACAGGTAAAGATTTTAATCTCAATTTTATTAGAAAATGGAATTTTTCCTTTCCTTATTAGTCCTTTCTTTTTTTTGCTCTCTTTATCATCACTTTTAACTAAGAACTGCTTAAAAGTTACATGAGACAAGTCTCTTCTAAAATAATCACATGGCTAGTTAAATAGTCATACCTTAACTCTGTATTCATAGGAAAAACAACCCACCAAGGATACCAAAGGTTAGTGTTGTTTGAGTCCCATTTCAACTTGTTCAAATACCTATTAAAAAGAGGTAATAGTGCCCTGACCGGTTTGGCTCAGTGGGTGGAGTGTCGGCCGCGGACAGAGAGGTCCCAGGTTCGATTCCAGTCAAGGGCATGTACCTTGGTTGCGGGCACATTCCCAGTGTGGGGTGTGCAGGAGGCAGCCATTCAATGTTTCTGACTCTCTATCCCTCTCCCTTCCTCTCTGTAAAAAATCAATAGAATATGTATTTTTTTTAAAAAGAGGTAATAGTGATTAAGATGATAGACTCTGGATATAGGCTGTCTGGGGTTCAGCCTACTCTGGGAAAGTTTCTTAACCTCTCTGTGCCTAAATGCCTCATCCATCAGTGGGGAAAACAAGTCATGATTATATTTATGTAAAGTTCTCAGGACAATTATTGGCACATAATCATCTCTATGTGACCTAATGAAAGTGGTTGTATATAGTCTTAAATAGAGCCTTTCATTGAATACCTTGTCACAGGAGGGAGAAGTGTTATGGCTCAGAGAGTGAGTTGTGAAAGCTGTGTGTAGGAGACCTCAGCATCCCAGCTTTAGTTCACAGTCCATTAGAAGCTGAGTGCCAACAAGCAAAAACAGAGCTGGATCTGACATCTATGCTGGGCAAAACAGAGACAAGCATTCTTGTTTAGATCTAAAGTGAGGATGGTTGATTATAAATGGCATCCTTAAATAGCTGTCTAGTTAGGATTGACTATTCTATTAGAATCAACCATCCATATGTCCTGTCACTTTTCATGTAGGTGTAAATCTTGGTGGGAGAGAGAATCACGTTCCTCAAACTCTGAGACCTGCCTTTTTTTCTTTGAGTGTTAAAAATCACACTTGAATCAACAGTAAATTTTAATGTTATATCATGTTTTTAAATTTTTTATTGAGATACTAGAGGCCTGATGCACGAAAATTCGTGCAAGAGTAGGCCTTCCTTCCCCCAGCAGCCGGCACCAGCTTCCCTCCAGCACTCCGGACCCGGGCTTCCTTCCTCCAGCCACCATTTACTTCATTGATTATCCAGGCACCCGGGCCCCAGGATGCTTCCCTCTTCTGGCTGCCCACAGGCACCTGGGACCCAGACTGGCTTCCCTCTGGCTGCTCGCAGGCACCCAGGAACCAGGCTGGCTTGCCTCGGGATGCCCACAGGCACCTGGGAGCCACACTGGCTTCCTTCCGGCCACCTGCAGGTACCCAGGACTGGGGCTGGCTTCCCTCCGGCCCTGGCTTCATCAGGAAGGACGTCCGGAAGGTCGTCTGGCTGTTTGGTCTAATTAGCATATTAGCTCTGTATTATATAGGATTATTGACATATAACATATTAGTTTCAGGTGTACAACATAATCAGTTGATATTTGTATATATTGAGAAATGATTACAATAAGCCTAGTTAACATAAGTTACCATATACAGTTGCAAAAGTTATTTTCTTGTGATGCGAACTTTTTTATTGAATTTACTGGGGTGACACTGATTAATAAAATTGCATAGATTTTTAAGTGTGCAATTCTCTAATACATCATTTGTATATTGTATTGTGTGTTCATCACCCCAAGACAAGTCTCCTTCCATCACCATTTATCCCCCCTTTACCCTCTCCTACCCCCTTTCCCATTGGTGATCACCATACTGTTGTCCATCTCTGAGTGTTTTGGTGTTTGTTTGTTTGCTTAATCCCCTCAACTTTTTTATCCAACTCCCTCCCCTCAGTTGTCAGTCTATTCTCTGTATCTATCAGTCTGTCTCTATTTTGTTTGTTAGTTTATTTTGTTCATTAGATTCCACATATAAGTAAAATCATATTGTATGTACTTGGCTTTCTCTTTTAAAACATTTTTTAAAGAAAAAAGAGTAAGTCTTTCAATTATTGTACAAGCCAAAGCAATGTACAGAATTGTCTTATTTCACTTAGCATAATACTCTCCAGGTCCAGCCATGCAGTTGTAAAGAGTAAGATTTCCTTCTTTTTTATGGCCAAATAGTATTCCATTGTGTAAATGTAACACAGCTTTTTTAATCCACTCATCCACTGATGGACACTTGTACTGCTTCCAAATCTTGGCTGCTGTAATTAATGCTGCAATGAATATAGGGGTGCATATATTCTTTCAAATTAGTGTTTTGTGTTTCTTTGGATATACTAGTATTCTTAGAAGTGGAATCAATGGGTGATAAGGCAGTTCCATTTTTAATTTTTTGAAATAACTTCATCCTGCTTTCCACAGTCGCTGCAGCAATTTGCATTCCTACCAACAGGGAACAAGGGTTCTCTTTTCTCTACATCCTTGCCAACATTTGTTGTTTGTTGATTTATTGATGATAGCCATTTTGACAGGTGTAACATGGCATCTCATTGTCAATTTCTCTAATGATTAATGACATTGAGCATCTTTTCATATGTCTATTGGCCATCTGTATGTCCTCTTTGGAGAAGTATCTATTTAGGTCTTTGCCCATTTTCTTAATTGGATTATTTGTTTTTATTAGTGTTGAATTTTATAAGTTCTTTATAAATTTTAGATGTCAACCCTTTATCAAATATATCATTAGTGAATATGTTCTCCCATTCAATGTGTTGTCTTTTCATTTAGTTGTGCAAAAACTCCCACTTGTTTGTTTGTTTGTTTCCCTTGCCCGAGAAGATATATTAGAAAAAAATATTGCTACCAAAAATGTCTTAGATTTTACTGCCTATGTTTTTTCTTCTAGGATTTTTATGGTTTTTGAGTCTTCCATTAAGTCTTTAATCTATTTTGTGTATGGTGTAAGAAGGTAGCCTAGTTTATTTTTTTGCATATATTTGTCTAATTTTCCCAATGCCATTTAGTGAATAGACTATCTTTACTCCATTATATGTTTTTTCCTCCATTGTCAAATATTAATTAGCCATAAAGGCCTTGGTTTATTTCTGGGCTCTCTATTCTGTTCCATTGAACTGTATGTATGTTTTTTATGGTCGTACCATGCTGTTTTGATTACTGTGGTTTTGATATCAGATAGAGTGATTCTTCCAACTTTGTTCTTTCTCAAGATTGCTGTGATATTTAGGGTCTTTTTTTTGGTTTCTTATAAATTTTTGAAATATTTGTTCTAGTTCTATGAAATACACCCTTGTTCTCTTGATAGGAGTTGTCCTGAATCTATAGATTGCTTTGGGTTGTGTGGACATTTTAATGATATTAATTTTTCCTATCCATGAACACAGTATATGCTTCCGCTTATTTGTATCTCCTTCCTTCATTTTCTTTCTTCAGTGTTTCATAATTTTATGAGTATAGGTTTTTTACATCCTTGGTTAAATTTAGTCGTGTCTATTTTCTTTGATGCAATTGTGAATGGGGTTGCTTTCTTAGTTTTTCTTTTTGATAGTTAACTGTTGTTGTATAGAAATGCAACTGATTTATTTTGCATCCTGCTACTTTACTGAATTCATTGATCAATTCTAGTAATTCTTTGGTGGAATCTTTAGGATTCTCATATCTGCAAATAATGACAGTTTTACTTCTTCTTTTACAGTTAGATGCCTTTTATTTCTTCTTCTTATCTGATTGCTGTGGCGAGGTCTTCCAGTACTATATTGAATAAAAGTGATGAAAGCAGATATTCCTGTCTTGTTCCTGATCTTATAGGAGATGCTTGTAGCTTTTGCCCATTGAGTATGGCTGTGGGTTTGTCATAAATGGCCTTTATTATGTTGAGTCATGTTCCTTCTATTCCAACCTTGCTGAGAGTTTTTGTCATAAATGGATGCTGTATTTTTTTAAATGCCATTTCTGCATCTATTTATATGATTATGTGGTTTTTATCCTTCATTTTGTTTGTGTGATGTCTCATGCTTAACTTTTAAGCCCTACTCTCTTAGCAACTTTCACATATGCAATACAGTATTATTTACTACTAGAGGCCCAGTGCATGAATTCGTGCATGGGTGAGGTCCAGGTGGCCTCCCCCAAATCGGGACAATTGGGGTAGGCTGTCCAGGGGGAGAAGCCGCGGATTGTTGGCCGGCCGCCCCACCCCCTGGACGAACTCCCAGTCAAACTCCTGGTCGAGGGGACAATTTGCATATTAGCCTTTTATTATATAGAATAGTCACCATGTTGTGCATTACATCCTCAGGACTTATTTATCTTATAACTGGAAGTTTGTACCTTTTGACCACCGTCACTCATTTCACCCACCTCCCATCCCTTACCTCTGGCAACCACTAATCTGTTCATTTTTTAGGGTCTACATATATAGTAAGTGAAATCATATGGTGTGTCTTCAAGGTCCATTGTGTTGTCTGTCACAAATGGCAAGATTTCATTCTTTTTTATGGCTGAATAACATTCCATCACATATATATGATGTTTTCTTTATCCACTTATCCATTAATGGACGCTTAGGTTGTTTCCATGCCTTGCCAATGATAAATAATGCTGCAGTAAACACGGGGATGCAGATATCTTTTCAAATTAGTGTTTTAGTTTTTTGTATTTTTTCTTTAGATAAATACCCAGAATTGGGACTGCTGAGTCAGATCATAATTCTATTTTTAATTTTGTGAGGAACCTTCACACTGTTTTTCATGGTGGCTACAATAATATACATTCTCACAAACAGTGCACAAAGGTTTTCTGTCTTACATCCTCACCAACACTTGTTAATTATTGTGCTTTTGATAATAGCCATTCTCACAGGTGTGAGGTAATATCTCATTGTGGTTTTGATTTGCATTTTCCTGATGATTAGTGATGTGAACACTTTTAGGTTAGGTGGCTCAGGAGGTGGTGAAGGAAATGAAGAGAGTTGATCAGAAAAGGAAGGAAGGAAAGAATCTGTGTCTGGCACGCTGATCTGTTAGAAATGCCAGGGAGAGTCCATTATCTCATCACATGTCTGCATGTATCCGATCCTGTGCTCTCTCCGACCTAACAAACAGCTTCTCATGTACCTGTTTGTCCTATGTATGTCTTTGGAAAAATACAGATCAGATTCCTATTGACCGTTACTAAGTTCAGAAGAAAGTGAAGAAGGAAACCAGTTTCTTATAACCAACCCCTCTAAAAACATAGCACACATTTAAAATAATCCATGTAAATAAAGCTAAAAATAAATAAAAATAAAGTAATCAACAGTGAAGTTTTCTCAATTGCCACTACAAATAAATACATGAATGAGCTGGTGGGGCAGGCAATCCTCCTGGCTTTTAGAGAAGCGAGGGTGTGTTAAGTTATGGGGAAGTAGAAATACGAATCAAGGATCAGGCAATTCTGCTTTCATTTCCCTCAGGTGATCAGTATTCACTTGACTCTCAGGTAATCCAGGGGAATAAATCTTAAGGTCACTGTTTTGTTCACAAAGGTGTCTTCCATTTATTGTGTTGTGCATAACAGCCAGGTAAAAATGGGTCTGCTCACTTCCAAACAAATGCCATTTAAGATGTTTGTATGGACGTTTTCTGTTCTGTTCAAAAGTTATTTTCTAAGGAGACATGGACATGTCCTTTCTAAAAGAGATTTCTTGAAAAAAAAAATCTTTCCCTGGAAGATTGGAAGAATTAATTTAATTAAAAAATAATCCCATAAATAAAAGCCTTTACCAACATCATCTAAGGGTACAAGTTTTGTATTATTTTTCTTTCCACTAACATTTATCAATATCTCGTTGTTGTGAAACTTGCTTCTTAGAATGAACTTGTTGTTATGGCCCTTTACCCTTTTTGTTATCCCCTAGAAAAGGTTTTGTTAGAATAGCTCACAGTATCTTGCTTACTCACTTTTCCCATTTGTCAGCATCTCTTCAAAGTGCTATGGTAATCTAAAAAACTCTGGCTACACATTTATGGAAATAGCCTGAAGGTGACCAGCCTACAGCAGATTTATGTGTGTGTACCTTTCTAGTTTCGGATGGAGAACACACGAGTCCAGAGATGGCTCTCACCATTCACTTACTTCACTCTGATCGGCACCCCCCAGTGTTCCAGGTCACAGCTCCACTACTCAAGGTCAGCCCAGGAGGCAGAACTTCCATAGGTAAGAACTGGGAGCCGGAAAGAAGCATGGCTCTCAAAATGGAGCCATACTTTAGCAGTCGTTCCTGTTCAAGCCTCTTGATGCTTACCAAAAAGTAACAACCTCCTCTTCCAGAAGGTACTTGCTCCTCATCTATATCTTTCCCTCTGCCCATTTCCATGGAAATAGAAGCAGCACAGAGAGAAGGCAATAAACCCTTCAGAGGCCAATGCTCGGGGATGGAATACAACACAGAATTTATTGTCCAGCCTCCAGGAGACTGATTTGTGGCCATCACTAAAATATAAAGTAACAGAGAGCAGAGAGAATAGGGGGGAGCCTTTTCAATGACTTCCTTCATTTCCTATTTAGAAAGTAAAGAGTTACGGGAGAAATGACAGATCACAGTAACCTTGGGAAGCTGTGAAGAGTTAGTGTTGGCCCAGTTCTTTTGTATGTGATTTATCTATTACTATACTCACTCTTTAGAAGTGTATTCTTTTGCCAAGAACATCCTAAGTGCAGATTCTTATTCAGTTTCTACATGTGGGTATTGGCCTAAAATTAATTACCATCCTACTTGTAAACAACTGTCACTTTCACCCTGCTTCTCACTCCACTGAGGGCAGGAGCAACTATTGTTAAAATAACTTGGCTCTTATGTAGATTCAGAGAAAGAAGAAGGGAAGAAACAATGAAAAACAAAGTTAGTTTGTGGGAGTGTTTTTTGGAAGAAAACCTACCTGAGCTAGTCAGGAATGACCTTTTTATGGGCTTCCATACCTTCATTTGTGTGGGAATAAAAAATGGTATCTGCATGCAGAACTACCTACTTATAAGTTAACTTGTGGAAGAATCTACTTGTAATTTGGGAATTGACTGTATTATCAGTTTTCACTCCTTTGTGGTTGGTTGGGGTTAAACAGTGCTTTCTTATAACTATCAGATTACCCACAACATGGCTTCCAGCCTGGCCTGTGGCTTCTGTGTACACAGAGGATACAGTTTTTAATGTACACACCTCTCACCAGGCTTTATTCTCCTGACCGCAGGGCTGCAGGTGGTAATAAGAGACACCGAGACAGCGCCTGAAGAACTCCTCTTTGAGCTTCGGAAACCGCCCGAGCACGGCGTGCTCCTTAAGGACACAGCTGAGTTCCCAGGGCCCATGGCCCCAGGTAGCTGCTCACTCTGTCATCAAAGGATTTCTTGCTCTGCAGTCAGTTTTATGTGTCTCAGACAATAAGTCAGCAATTTTGTGGGACAAACTATGAGGAGATAACTTAGAAAGGGGGAAAATTAGTGTTTAGTTCATCAGCTGAAATATTTGGGACTTCTCTGTGCCACTTCCCGTGCCCAAAACTATGAAGCTGTTTTCTCACATTGTAGGTGCAATTGGTTGATTTTTGAAACCTGGAGTAAATGCATTCAGAACAACCTCATAGGAGTTGTCAGCTGCCACTCTCCGATAGGTTGTTCATGGGCATGAATTTGTTTCCTTACTATGATATGTAAATCTTCACAGTATTTATAGCACTGCCATTCCGATAGTGTCAACTACTGGTATCTTCATAAAAAAAAGGGAACACATTTTTAAAATAGTATTTACGCAGTATAACAGTGTGGTGATGTGACCAGCTTTCCAAAATAATATTTACTGCACTTTCTCCAGCTATAAAAAATAACACGTATTGTTTAGAAAGTATAGAAAAGCACAAAGAATATAACTAAATCTAATTTTTAATAGTCATCCCTTATATGTCAAAGTAGATATTACCCCCTTGAAAGTTGTCACCTTGGGGTGCTCTGTGCTTATTCTGACAATCTGTACTTTCTCAAAACCTTCATATAATTCCTAGTTGTCGTGTAAAGATGCATTATTCTGAATATCCCTGCGGAGGTAGGGGGCATGTGTTTGACCTTGAAGGTAGATTGAATTTGTGAGAACAAGCAGTAGACACTTGGGAGTCACAAAGGCAGATTTTTTACAAATTTACTGAACAAAAAAAAAGGATATTAGAATAGATTCCTAGTATCCTAAGGGAACTACTTTAGGAGCATAATAGGCATAGCCCAGTTTCGTGAACATCATATTTCACCTATATTTGTGTAATTAACATAGAGATCCAAAGATGTTAGTAAAATGTTCTTTTTAATGTATTACAATAAACTTATCAGTTTTATTACTTTTTTAAGCACACCACCACTAGCACCAGTAAATCACCGTAACACAGTGTTGAAAGAGAAGGCTGAGAAGACTAAGACAGAGCATGAATAAATTCTTTAGTTTAATTACATCACACCAGTTATGAGAGTCAATAATCTATCAGGAGCTGGAGTTGAATATAACACCCAAGAAGACCAGTTCCTTGACTGTGGTCTGTGGAATTGTTGGGACCCAGGACACTAAGTGGCATTTCTCATAAAAAAGGGATCCTTGACCAAACAGTTTTGAGAAGCTTTCATATTGTACATTATAGATTCTAAAATTCTCATAAATCCTGCAGTTTAAAAGTCAGAGAGAGACAAGTACCATATTGATTTCACTCATATGTGGAATTTAATGAACAAACTGAACTGCCAAGCAAAATAGGGACAAACTTATGGCTAGAGGAATTTGTGTGAGGGGGGTTGAGCAAAAAAGAAAAAGGAGAGATAAATTCATGGACATGGACAACAGTGTGGTGATTGCAGGGGCGGGGGAATGGAAGAGGATAAATAGTGATGGGAAAAAATAATAAATGAATGGATAAATAGATAAAATCAGAAAAAAGTTTTTAATTTTAAATTTTGTTTAAATCTATTTTTCCTAAACTAATATGACCTTTTCCACACAGCACATATCAAATCTATCATGAATTAGTGCTCCAGACTAAGTTTCTAACTTCAAGTACATTTTTTAATTTGTAGATTTTTTAAATTTAAAAAACATCTTATGCTCTCAATTAAAACAAAGACCTCTTACAGGTTCATTAAACATAATTTATTTTATTGTTCAAAAAATTTTCCATATCAAGATTAGGTACTAGAAAGACTGTCATAAAGAATAAAGGCTTGTCCTTTATTCTCTAGACCTGAGAGTGATGAATGGATCTTATAGAGGCAGATTTAAAAAAAACACACACACACACACTCAAAACAAACAGTAGAGCTTCCTCCCGTGGAATGAGCCACCTTGTCAAATAGTGAGCCTTTCACCTTGAGAAGTGTTGAAGGACAGGCTAAATACCTTTTTCAAGGGTAGTGTAAAGGAAATTCTATATTGGGTGGGTGGCTGGACTAATTAGCTTCCATCTCCCAGTTTGTGATCCTATATGTGCTTTGAAATACTGAGATCAAAGGTGTTATATAAATGAAAAGCGTCATTCCCAGAAGTAATTGGTTCTGTAATTTGTTTTATTCTTGAAAGGTGACACTTTCACATATGAGGATATTGAGAAAAATGTGCTGCAGTACCTCCACGACGGCTCCTCTGCGCGGGAGGACAGCCTGGAGATCTTGGTCACAGACGGCCTCTCGGCGATGACCGTGGACGTGAGAGTGGAGGTGTCCCTGTCAGGGGCCCCAGCGCCTCGGCTGGCTGCCGGTGCCTCTCTGAGCATGACCGTTGCTAGTGAAAGCACAGCTGTAATCACTAGATCTCACCTTGCTTACATCGTAAGTGCTTACACTTGCCTTCCTCTTCTCTGTGCCCTCTGACTGGGCTGACTAGTGAGCAGTGCCCTGAGTGAGTATCTGGGGCGTCAGGTAGATGGTCTTATGAAGAACTTTTTCTCAACTTTCCTATAGCTCTGCTCTTTGGAATAGTTACACTCTTTATCCCAACAGCTCTCAGTGTCTCATGCACAGACAAGTGAATGGGCAAACCTTGATGATCACACAATGTGTACGTGTAAGGACGGGTGATTGTCAACAGGAAACATTACCAATGTCAGAAAAGCCCAAGTCCCCACATTTTAAGCTCCATCCATAATGTTTCAAATGAGAATGTTATGGAAAGAGCATGTCAGAAGAACTTCCCTGGTCAGTGACTAATAGGTAATGATATTTCATGGCCCACCTTTCTAAGAGAAAGCCCACTCTTCACCAGCTTTGGTTTCAGGTCCAGCTCTAGACAGAGCACTGGCTCACCCCTTGGCAGTGCCTCTCTGCCAGGCCTCCTGGGCAAGGGTCCGGACTCCGCCTCCAGTCCATTCCCCAAGAGAAGCAGGGTGGTTGGGGGACAAGGGTAAGCTCAGGAACGCTAGTTTGTTTTTTTCCTCATCTAACCTTAACTTAATTAATAATTCTTGTTAATTAAAACTCATATTCTTTCTTTGATTTTACCTCTAGTGTTAAGGAATGAGGATCATTCATTTTATTTTTCAATTATGTATGTTGTAAACAGATATGAACTCTCAATATAAACATAATAATGAGAAGTTTTGACTAATGTCTTGACAATAAGAATGATTATCTGAGTGGTAGTCATTCTTAGTATTGAATTTTTCCTCTACAAATCTTAAAATTCCAAGCAATGATCTGGCCTTTTTTCTTTTTTCAATTGGTCTTTTCAGAGAGAGGAAAGGAGAGAGAGAGAGAGAGAGAGAGAGAGAGAGAGAGAGAGAGAGATGAGAGAGAAACATCGATTGGTTGCCCCAGCCGGAGATCAAACCAGAAAACTGGGTATGTGGCCTGACCTAGAATCGAACCTGCCACCTTTTGGTGTATGGGACGCCTCCCCAACCAACTGAGCCACCCGGCCATGGCAACCTCTAAAAAAAAAAAAAATTATGTAGTTTTAAGTGATCCTTTACTGGGCTGAAGAGTCTGGCTATAAAAGCTAGTCCTAAGTAGTTGTATGAAAGATGAAGCATTGGCCTGGGAACAATTTCTTCAATTGCTTTTGCACAGATTTCCCCCTCAGATTGTCTCTTCTGAAATGATGGGAAACTGTATTCCATCCTATTCTTCTCTTGGGTCTAGTACAGTTTCAGAACAGTTTTGATTTTGTTTTGTTTTTTAATTGACAGGTGATTTTTACCATAGGTTATGGTCTTAAATTGTATGAAACTCATGAATTCATAAAAAATGTATGAATACAGATTTAATCAATAGATCACTAAGGCTTGAAAAATGTTTGACAGACCAAAATTGCACTCCAGGAGCAGTTCCTGCCCATTAACTGCGTATTATAAGCTGCATATCAAAAATGCAAGCCCATTGGCAACTGAACGTGTATTTTCAGAAATTGATTGAATGCGAATTTACCCACTAGAGCAGAAAGACTCCTAAAGAACTGTCCTAGCCTGCCGAAAGCATAGCATATTTTAAAGATTTTGCTAAAGCATATACTAACTTTCTCTGAGGGCTGTAGAATAATTTTATACTTAGTATAACGGGGAAAATTTTTTCTAGATATGTGTAGTTAGTAAGTTTGCAGTGAACATTCAGAAAGGTTGGAAAAGCCATATGGAATCTGATCATTAATGAAGCAGAATATAAAAGGAGAGGAGCAGGTGAGCCTATTCTTAATTAGAGTTCATTAATGGGATGTTGGGAGAGACAAAAGGCAGAAATGGGATTCTATGTGACTTGCTTATTAATGGTGGTTCTTGTACACCATTTATATGCACTGCAAGTAAACAAGTAGGGGAGGGATGCTATGGATTTTGTAGTTAGAACAGATGGGTTTTAATCTAAGCTCACCACTTACTGGCATAGTAATCCTTAGCAAGTTACTTAACTCTCTAGAGCGCAGTTTTTTGCATCTGTAATATGGGGAGGGTGATATAAGATTGATCTTAAAAAGTTAATGGTGTTTATATGTACCAGCCAAAACTACAATAATTCAGCCCTGGCCAGTGTGTCTCAGTTGGTTGTCATCCCATGCCCAGAGAGGTTGCTGGTTTGATTTCCAGCCAGGGCACATGCCAGGGTTTCGGGCTTGATCCCCAGTAGGGGGCGTGCAGGAGGCAGCCAATCTGTCCCTCTTATCGATGTTTCTCTCTCTCCCTCTCCCTTCCACTCTCTGTAAAAAACAACAACCTAATAAAAACACATTAAAAACTACAATAATTCAAATATGATACCATCTATAATAATATTGTATAATACATGTCTAGGGATAAATGTAACAAAAGGTGCATAATTCTAGAGATAATTAATGCTATGACTGATTATAAAGAAAATCCAAAAGAATCTCTTGACAAAGTATTAGAAATAAAAGAATTTACCAAGAAGACAGATAGAAGATCAATAAAACAATAGCATTGCTATACATAAGCAAATAATAGCCAGTAAATGTAACTAAAAATAGCTTATAATAGCATTACAAAAATCATGTCCATTGGACAAAATCTAACAAAAAAACAGGCCTTTCTTTCACAGGGAAAATTTATTACTTTACTGACAGACATTTTAAAAAGCACTAAATAAATTTTGTGTTTTCCATTTTCATGAATAAGAAGATTTTGTATCAAAAAGGTTATCAGTTTTCCCACAAAATGATCTTTCTATTCAGCTGAGATCCAATCAAAAGCCCAGTAGCCTTTTTATGGCTTTTGATAAGCTGATTCTTCAATATATAAGGAAGAACAAAGGGCTAAATTCTGAAAAAGAATGATAGGAGGGTAGGCATTTGCCCTATCTGATATTAGGCTTTATTATGAAACTGCACTATTTAAAGCAGTGCAGCACAGGAATATGCTGAAGAGTCCAGAAACAGACCCACACATGAGACAATATAAAACGGATGCAGCAAGCCAGTTCTGTGGAAACAAGAAACTGATTAAGACATGGAACTGCACAAAATGAGTACTCATGTGGAAAAACAAAAGAACTTGTACTCACACCCTACATGGATATTAACTCCAGGCAAATCATGTTCTTAAGTATCATAAGCAAAATTTTATAATTCTTTTTAGGATATAGGTGAATATACTTATGATATTGGGAAAGAATTTCTTAAACTAGAAACTATAAAGAAAAGATTGATAAATTTGACTATATTAAAATTAAATTTATGTTTCCTAAAACACACTATAATTATAAAAAACTGACAAGTTAAAAATTGGGAAAAGGTATTTGTAACACATATAACCAAAAATAACACAGAAAAGATAAACAATATCTGCAAGTCAAAAAGCAAAAGCAAAGCTAATCCAATAGAAAATGAACAAGAGACATTAACAGGAATTTCAGAAGATGAATCATAGGGCCAGTAACTCTCAGAAGGGATATCCACCTTCTTGTCATCAGGGAAAGCAAGTTCAGATTACATATCATTTTATACCAACTCAATTGGCAGAAATTTAAAAATCTGACAACACCAACTGTTAGGAAATTGGTCTGAGGAAGGTTTTTGACTTTTCTCATGGAAGTAAAAACTGGAATGACCATATTGAGGTGAATATATACCTTAACTCTTTCACTCCTAGATTCCTATGCAAGAGAAACTTACTCATTTATACTGAAGAATATGCACAAGAATGTTCATTGCAATATTATCTATTACAAGCCAAATGCCTATCGCCAGGATAACAGATAACTTGCAGTATATTTACTCAATGGAATATTAAAGAACAGTCAAAACAGATGAATTATTTCTTAAACAAATGAACTATTGCTACACAAAACAAAATTGATGGCTCTTAACACTCCACTATTAAATAAAAAGAAAAATAAATCCCACAAAAGGAGAGTCTAACTGCCTTTCATAAATATAAAAAAACCACTAAAATATTTTGTAGTAATATATCAAATTATATTGCAAAATTCTAAGAAATAAGAAACAAGATTCAGGGTAATGGTAGACCCAACGACAGGATAGAGGAAAACACATAGACAAATATTAATCATCAAAGTACTAGTCCTAGTGTTGAATCAACGGGAGATAATAGATTTATAAATAATAAAAAGAAAATGACAAAATGAATTAATACAGAAGGGGTAAGAAGGTCTTCAAGTAGAAAAGTTACATGAGAACAAGCTCTATATTCTTTTTTTTAAAAATTGCAGAAGCTGCTATATTTTTTTAATTGT